GTTGTTGTTAGCTATACTAATTTTTAAAAAGAATTTTGGCAACTTGGAGAGACTTTACTTAAAGTATGTAGGCTTTTGTCTGTATTCATTTCTGCGTGCCTTACTTAGACCCCAGCCTGTAAGTCCAATTATAATGAACAATTTGCATCTTGAGAGCTGTACATTAAAGCTTAGACTGTCTACTTCCTATCAGTTATCTCCTAGATCGGTTCAATTTATTATTAATTTATAGTTATTTTAGAGCTAGAAATTCAGCCGAAGAATAAGTACGTACGAGCTCAAGAATTGGAGGAAGGAAAACATTGGTTGGATCTGAATACAATCATCACGTTCCGTGGGAGTGGAGTGTCGCACTCCCGGGCTTGCACTCCCAGTGCTCTGGGCTTATGTCAGCCCTGCTGCCAGAAACGCTCTGCTGATGGATGGAGACTCACACTGGAAAGGCCAACCTGTCTTGGACTCAGAGAGACAAAGTGTGCGCACAACCACACTGTCATACCTGCGCGCGCCCCAAGGGCCCCGGAAACACCACAAGGCCACCGCCCTCCACTTGCGTTCACACTGGACCTATGGCAAAGCCACATCAGTCTTTGTCAGGATTAGGCAGGAGGCAGCAATGACATTAAAACAACGAGGTCACCGAGAGCTGCGAGAAATCCACCCCACTGGAGGCTGTGCTGACAACACTCAACACGAGCTGCGGGGCATCAACCAGCATCGAATGCAGGATGCGGCAAAGACTGAGTACGGCGACACCACGTGGGCCTTCTCCTCCTGCTCCTCCCTCCTCCTCTCCCCACTCTTCATGTTCTCATGCTCAGTGTGCCTTCGTGTCGCAGAGGAAGGCAAGCTCACTCATTCACTTATTCAGCAGACATTTATGGAGCACCTAATGGGTGCCAGGCTCAAAATCAGCTTCTTACTGCAAGGACTCTTTATTTAGCAGAAGAGAGTGCCATGGAAACTACTGACAAAATATGTATTTGAGAACCATATTCGAGGTTTATTCCAAGTGTTGACAACACGTAGAAAGGAGTGAGCAGTTATGCCTGGGAGGGATACGGGTACCAGGAGGCGAATAAGAAAGAAGAGGTGTCAGCGCAGGTTTGAGAGGAGGCTTGCAAGAAGCATGGAGTTGTTAACTCATAATTTGCACTCTGAGTGCCATGGTGTTTTTCTGGGTGTCCCATAGGTGTTTCAAACTAACACTAACTGCCTAAACCACACATCGACCCATGCCAACCAGCTGTACCTCTTGGTGTCTCTGTGTTGGTGTCTGGTGTCATTAACCAAACCATATCGGTCTTGAAAGCTGAGCATCAACTTGGGGTCTTGTTTCTCCTTGACCCCCCCCATTTCACATGATTCCAGGCCAATCCATTTTACTCAAGAAATGTCAACTTGATCCATTCTCTTCTCTTCTCCATGCAAGTCCTTGTCAACTTTCCACTGGACTAGTTATAGTCGACTGTTACTGCAAGTCACTTCTTAGCAAGGAAGAGGTGACACCTATTCTCAAGCTCTCCAACTGCACTGAATGCCCCTCCTCCACTGGCGGTGGCGGCCACACTCTCATCTGCTCTGGGGGAGGGGGGGATCATGCACCCTGTGGGCCTGGAAATTTCTCCCTTCGGGCTTTTCTTGTGAAAACTTCCTACTCATCACTCTAAAGCAGCTTAAATGCTGCCTGTGTAATTTTCTTACTTCTCTTACCCGTTTCTTTCAGAAACACAACGCAATGAATTGTAATGAGTTATTTGAACAAGCTGGACACAGAAGGATACAAGTAGAAAGTACTTGATTTTTTTTTGTCATGACTACCTAATTAAATTGTCCATTTGGATAGTTTCCCTCTATTCCT